ATGGGCGGCGAAGGTGCGGCTGGTGGTTTGGTGGACGGATGGTGGCTACAAAAGGTGGAAAGTGAATGAATTAGGAGGTTGTGTGGTGGTTGTGGGGTGGTTGTGTGGTGGTGGGTTGATGGGATTGTTTCCCTTTGTTTCTAAAACAAACAACATAGAGAATATTGGGTATTTTCATTCCATTCACTTCCATTCCTTTTGTTCATTCCATTCCGTTTACCCCGGGTGAACCAAACGACCCCTAATGTTTTTCAAATAAACTAGTTACGGATTACTAATGAACACAACCATTAAGCTGTTATTGTTGACTCTTAATATGTGGTCCTATTTTAGATGACATTTATTTGTGGGTGTGGGGGAGTATATTAGACTATTAAAACTCAAGTTGTTGCTATTAATTGCCTATTAATTGTGCACGTTTTGGGCCATTTTTTTTTTTTTGTTGAAAACATCCTCCTTTTTTTTTCTTTTTTATTACGGGGAAAACTATTATGTTGTGCATGGAATATTATCATGGTTTTGAAATATTATATATGCTTGTTACTTATTAGCATAATTGAATTGGTATGAATTTATTAAACTGTATGTATTAATACTTATAACAATCCTGCATATTGTAGCGATTTGTAGGACACACTTAAGTTGATCGTTTGGTTGTATGTAAAAATTTATAGCATTAGAAATCTCTAAAAGTTCAAACTTTAAGAAATGTGTGTTAGCGATTATTCAGGTAATGGTGAAATTCAAGTGACAAAAGATTCAATTACTTTTATACATAATTTTCTACATTTTGTAATGTTAACTACAACTTTTCTTAAGTGAAATGAAGCTTTATACTAGTATATTTTTTTGCATGGTTTTCCAAGAAATCCTCAGTTTACACACACCTCACAAACAATGTATTTACACTTGTCTAGGCAAAATAAAACAAGAAAATAATTATTTTATACAAAATGAGCAAAATTAAAGCTTATTACTATAATAGAATAATAGTAGAAATGCAGAGATAAATACGTTCTAGTTTATAATACTATAATAGAATGATAGTAGAAATGATTCAAATGAATTTGGGGCTTTAGGAGTTTAGGGAGTAATATTCTAAAATCTTCTTTTCAGGTTACTGTATAAGTTATTGTTTATGGACTTCAAAATCAGTGACCAATTTCATAATTAATCCATAGCGTTCCCTAAGCCATATTATCCTACAAAAAATTAAGTAGGGAAGGTACTTGAGATTGAATTAAACACATGCAATATTTGCAAAAACCCTAGCTAGCTTAGTACTCCGAATTAAATTACTAATGATCTATTAGTTGTTTTACCCTAATTCACAAATCACAAATAAATCATAGATTCCAATAAGTTAAGGGACCTAGTGGTGGAGGGAAGTGCAGTACAATGGGCAGCAACGAAAGATGAAGGGCCCTATTAGGTCGAAATCCCTCATGAGTCAGCTAGAAAATTTGCGAGAGTAGGGAAATGTAAGGGAATTCCAATCCTCCCCCCCTCCCCCCCCCCCCCCCCCACCAAATTGTCACTAGTGGAGATTGAAGCTCATGGTTGGAAGGTGCTTTTCTTTCTATTAAATCAAGCTCAGCTTTTTATTGTATTATGAAAGTGATTTAAATTTTTTTTTCTTTTTCTCTTCACATTTATTGATTTATTTATTTATAGAGAAGTAATATGAATTTTTCTAGGCACACTTCCCTTAATTTTTTTTTCTAGGCACACTTTGCTACTTTTTTTTAAAGGTCATTTTAATGGATAAAAAAATTAAAATAATAAAATAAAACTGAGACGGATTTGGGGTGGGATAAGACGAGTTATGGGGTGGAAAAGGTGGAAATTAGGCAGGTCATTGGTGTGGATAATGATGGTGGGACAAAGGTTGTTTTAGATTGGTAACCATTTAGGGTGGGGACGGAAAAGGGGTTAAAAATATAACAAGTAGGTAGGGATGAGAGCGCAAAATATATATATAATTTCAAATGAAATACTCGTATTATATTCTATATGAGAAATACATAAAAGCAAGGAACCGAGGAAGCATGAATAATCTTCCTAGAGAGCTTTCAAATATTCTAAAGACCTATATCATGTTCTCGAAAATATATCTAATGTAAATTATATGAGTAATAAAAACAGATATGAACAACGCAACATGTTTCAAAAAAATAAAAAATATATGAGAGCTTTTTTGGTGCAGCAGGCCACACTGTGTGGCCTGCTGCCAAATCAGTAAAAATAACGGATTACGCGGCATAACGGGGTTACTATTCACTCGCATAACAAGGTTACTGGTTTTGTCAGGGTTACTTGTATTTTTTTTTCCAGGGGTTACTTGTATTTTTTTTTAGGACTTGTATTTTTTTTCAAGGGTTATTTGTATTTTTTTTTCAGCGGTTACTTGTATGGATTATTTATTCAGGGGTTACTTGTATTTTTTTTCAAGGGTTACTTGTATTTTTTTTTCAGGGGTTACTTGTATTTTTTTTTTCAGGGCTACTTGTATGGATTACTTATTCAGGGGTTACTTGTATTTTTTTTTCAGGAGTTACTTGTATTTTTTATTCAGGGATTACTTGTATGGATTACTTATTTCAGGGGTTACTCGTATTTTTTTTTTTTTCAGATGTTACTTGTATTTTTTTTCGAGGGTTACTTGTATGGATTACTTATTCAGGGGTTACTTGTATTTTTTTTTCAGGGGTTACTTATATATTTTTTTCAGGGGTTACTTATTTTTTTTCAAGAGTTACTTGTATTTTTTTTTCAGGGTTACTTGTATTTTTTTTTCAAGATTTAGTTGTATTTTTTTGCAGGGATTACTTGTATTATTTTTTTTTCCAAGGGTTACTTGTATGGGTTAATTCAAGGGTTACTTGTATGAGTTATTTATTGGGTTACTTGAATGAGTTACTTATTCAGGGGTTACTTATATGAGTTGCTTCAAAGGTTACTTGTATGAATTACTTATTCAAGGGTTACTTGTTACTTATTTAAAGGTTACTTGTAAGCCCCATACCAAACCAGTAACACCCTATAAGTAACCCTTGAGAAAAACTAGTAACACCCTACCAGCAATCCCTAACCAAACCAGTAACACCCTACAAGTAACTCTTGAGCAAAACTAGTAACACCCTACAAGTTAGGGGTGAGCAAAAATTCCGGGTACCCGGAATTGGAACCGGAACCGGTTAGGAACCGGTGGGTCCGGAACCGGAATTGGACCCGGTGGTTCCAATTCCGGGTAATAAATTAAGGACCCGGTTATAACCAATTCCAATTCCAATTCTCAACTTTTTGGAACCGGAACCAGTTGGGTACCCAGTTACCTAATATATGCTAAACTAAATAAATTTTAAATAATAAAAATACGTTGAATGTATCTAATTTGTAAATTAACAAAGTATTATTATTACCTAACATAAATACAAATAGCTCAATGCATATATAAATATAAGTATTAAACGCTAAAAATGAACCTAACTAAAATAAGAATTAAAATTTGTATTATATATTAACAATTACATACATATAAGTGGGTACCAGAACCGGAACCGGTACCCGGTGGTTCCAATACCAATTCCTAAATTTTAGGACCCAGTTGAACCAATTTCAATTCCGAATCCGAATTTTAGGACCCGGTTCCAACCAATTCCAACTCCGGGTCCTAAAATTTTGACCGGGTATCCGGTTTGCTCGCCCCTACTACAAGTAACCCCTAACCAAACCAGTAACACCCTACAAGTAACCCCTGATCAAAACCAGTAACACCCTACAAGTAACCTGACCAAACCAGTAACACCCTCACCAAACCAGTAACACCCTACAAGTAACCCCTGACCAAACCAGTAACACCCTACATGTAAATCCTGACCAAACCAGTAACACCTACAAGTACCCATAACCAAACTAGTAACACCCTACAATTTTTGACGTAGAATGTTCGATCTAAGATTCCACGAAGAAAACGAGCTCACATTTCTTTGGTTCTCATTAATTTCACTACTTCAAATGTTGTTGATGATTTTAAGGATAATTAATCGCAATTTTTCACGGCAATTTAACACCCAATTTCTACAATTTCGGGCTTTAATTGCAACAATTTGGCAAAGTGGAGAGAAAAAAATGGGTGGAGTAGAGATATGGTTGTTGGTGATGTGTGGTTTGGCTTGAAGAAGAAGCTAAGAAAAGAGGAGAGAGAAAATGGGTATAGTATAGATATGATTGTTGGTGATGTATGGTTTGGAGAAGAAAATAAGAAAAGAAGAGAGAAAAAAGTTCTTATATTTTTTTTAAAAAAAAATAATAAAAAATGTGGCTGGCCACACCGTGTGGCCAGCCACATACAAAAATTTGTAAAAATATATATACTCCATTTGTCCCATAATATAATTCCTGCTTTCTTATTTTAGAGATCTAAAATATTATTCTTGTTTCTATTTTTGGATGATATGTAAATATTATACTTCCTCTGTTCTATTAATATTGCAACAAAGAGGAAATTACACATTTCAAAGCACATTTTATATACTTATTACTAAATATCTATAATTGAGTAAAAATTATAAAAAGTTGATTTTGTGAAAGTATTTTATGAGACGAATCCAATAAGATTGCACATGACTATATTTTACTTAACGTATAAATCTATATTATAAGGTCAAACAAGAGTGATGAATAGTGCAAAAAGTCCATTGTTGTAATATTAATAGAACGGAGGAAATACAATTTTTTTTTAACTTTATTCATTGCATTTTCTAATTTACCCTATAATTTTGCATGTCTTGTACTTTTTTTCATTTTCTCTGCCTAATTTTTGTCAATCATTGTACTTTTAAGATTTATTAATATACTTCATTCACTTTTTTTTCCTATTTGTTAAATACGGTAAAAAAACACAAACAAAAACTATATTATGAGATGGAACACGACATACATAATTAACAAATCTAAATTTAGGTATACCCGAAAATAAGTAAATAATTGATGTTCCTTACTTTCTGTGGAGTGTAGTATGTAGCGTACTTTCATTTATAAAAAAATTAATGCAGAGTAACGGAATATAGAAATTTGAATAAAAAAAACCTGACAGACAGACGTTAAAATTCAAAAAATCAAAAGGCAAGGCGCGGCCGTCAATGGTTGCTCAGTCCCTTCACTCTCTCTTTGTGTCTACCAAATCAAACAATCATTCAAAATTAAATCATGGATTCCAAAGATAATTGTAGAAATGAACTCCGAATTGCAATTCGTCAACTCACAAATCGCGGTCTCTATTCCCCTTCTAGATGGTCAGTTTCCCCTCTTTCTCTCTTCATTTCTTCAATTGACAATTTTTGGGTGAATTTCTGGGGTTAGGATCTTCATGGGTGTATCTAATTTAGTGCAAGATTTGATTTTTAGAGTAATTTGATTGATTTTAACTTGTTTTGGTACTATTCTTTACTGGGTGTGGTTTGAATTTCATAGATCTTATGTTTGAATTCAAATTTCTTGTTATTTGATCGCTTGAAATTAAATAATTTGATTGTTCTTGGTTAACTTCTGGTTTTTTTTGAAATTTTTTATGTGGGGTTCTTGAATTTTTGGAGTTTTCTGTCTCTTATGGGTTTGCCCACCATCTGTTCGACGAATTTCCTCTGATAAGAAGGGTTATAGCTCTTGGATTTACTGTCTAAACTTCTTTACATGATCAAATTTTAAAAAAAGAAACTAAATTTGGTATTATTGTGGATTTGGCATGATAATTATTCCAGGGCAGCTGAACAATTGCTAGGTATTGAGCAAGACCCTGCAAAGTTTACACCTTCTCATACTCGATTTCAACGAGGTAGCTCTAGCATTCGTCGTAGATTTAAAACCCATGACCCTACTTCAACGCCTAGTCCTAGTGTTTCCTTTGTTTCTACACCAATGCCAGAGGAGGATGATGATGTTGTGGATAGTGATTTCTACCTTTTGGCCAAGTCCTACTTCGATTGTAAGGAGTTCCGGAGAGCTGCCCATGTACTTAGAGACCAGGCTGGACGGAAAGCTGTGTTCTTGCGATGTTATGCCTTGTACTTGGTATGCTTTGCTCCTTGTCTTTTAGCTTTATGATTTCTTTAGTGTAAGCTGTAAGCTGCTGCACAAATATGATCTTGAGTTTAGATAATCAACTTGCTTGTGTCTTTGTTATATATTATTTGTTGACTCCTCGGTTTTGGATTGTTATGTAGCAAGTTATTTGAGACATCTAGAGTACTTGAGTGACAATAAGTGTATAATATTAGGCCTTAAACTGGAGATCTTACATGATTTGTATGAGCTCAAGTTCATTTGTTTGTGGCAAACCAATTATAAGATGAGTTTTTAAACATGCACTTCCTTCTCTTAAAGCACTAAAGAGCACTGAGCTATTGAGAGGCTAGTAATTTATATGATTGCATTATGTAGGATGCCACAGTTAATGGTATGTGGTGCAAAGAGTTAAAATTGTTAGATTATTTCTTGTTTTCCCTTGAGGAAGGATTTCCAGAAGAATGTATACGAGTGGAGTGTGTAGAATATATGTGGATCCTTGGATTTATGAATTTGACGCTGTTGAAGTTGTAGATTAGACATTGTGTTAGGTGATACTGGCTGCCATGTTGAGGCATTTTTCTATAAGTAGGTGAAGGTGGGATGTTGTTTGTTTATTTATTATGTTGATTAAGGAAATCATGTCTACTGGACATTTTATATGTCCATTTTCAACAAAGTATGTCCATTTCCAACAAAATTGCAAGGATGAATATTTGAAAATCGTTACTTTTGGTTACAAGGGACGGAATTGTCTTCATTTGGTTGATCTCTTCTTCTTTATCATGAAGTAGGCCTCTCTAATGAAGGTTTGCTAGTAAACAAAATTTGCATTAAGATAGCACCCTTCCATATAATAACCTTAATAAGCAAACTGCCAAAGATTCTAGAGAGCCACTAGTGTAATGGACAGTATATTTCTATGACATTTTCTATTATGATAATGAACTTCAGAACAAGTGAAAAAAAGTGTCCAGTCTGCTGATTAATTTAGTATGTATTGAAAGAGATTCCTTTGACTGGATCCATTAAATTGGGTATGCACTTGTAACTCTTTAAGTCTGCCTCCAAGATTGGGGATACTGAAGATTGAAAACAAGTTTACATCCTTGGATTCTCTTATGCAGATCAATCAAATTATTTACCATTACGAAACCTATATTTTTTACACCAAAATCTGAACACTTGAGTACAGCGATCAGGAACATGATTTGAGAAGTTTGCTGCTCAGATACTACTATACTAGATCGAATATATATTGACAAACAAATATGGCATTGTTGATTTTACATCTCATTGTTTAATAGCTGGGTTATGTAAGTTTGTATTTGTTGTATTATTGCTTTCTATGTTTTGTGTATCATCATCCTTAGTGTATGATTGTGGAATTTATCTTAAATCAATTTTTTTGAACTTTACTTAAGTTTGCTGAAAATTAAATTAATAAGCCTAATTTAGAAAGAAGCCTTGTCTAGACCTCCCATACCTCTCAACAGCAGGATTCCACTTGTTTATATATTCATTTCAATTGAGTGACTTCTTAATTTATTTTTAAATTTTTTGTAAAGGCAGGGGAGAAGCGAAAGGAAGAAGAGATAATAGAGCTGGAGGGGCCTTTAGGGAAAAGTAATGTTGTGAATCGCGAATTGGTTTCCCTTGAAAGGGAACTATCCATGTTGCGGAAAAGAGGTGTTCTGGATCCATTTGGGATGTACTTGTATGGTCTTGTGTTAAAAGACAAGGGAAATGAGAACCTTGCTCGTGCTATCCTCGTGGAGTCTGTAAATAGCTATCCATGGAATTGGAATGCATGGTTGGCATTGCAATCACTCTGCACCACCGTTGACATGTTAAACAGTCTTAATCTCAACACCCATTGGATGAAAGACTTCTTTCTTGCTAAAGCTTATGAAGAACTCAGGATGCACAAGGAATCCTTGGATAAGTACGAGCAGCTCCAGAAAACATTTTCATTTAGCAGCTACATACAATCTCGGATGGCAAATGTGCAGTATCATTTAAGAGAATTTGAACAGGTAGAAGTCATCTTTGAGGAGTTATTAAGAAATGATCCATACCGAATTGAAGACATGGACATGTTTTCTAACGTGCTTTATGCAAAGGAAGCGTTCTCATCCCTCAGCTACCTAGCCCATAACGTATTCTTGACTGACAAATATCGACCTCAATCATGTTGTATCATTGGTAATTATTACAGTTCCAAGGGCCAACATGAGAAATCAGTTTTGTATTTCAGGAGGGCTCTCAAGTTGGACAAAAATTATTTATCTGCCTGGACTCTAATGGGCCACGAGTATGTTGAGATGCAGAACACAGCAGCCGCAGTGGATGCCTATCGTAGGGCAGTAGACATAAATCCATGTGATTATAGAGCATGGTATGGATTAGGGCAAGCCTATGAAATGATGGTAATGCCTCATTACGCTCTATATTATTTCAAAAAATCTGTTTTCCTGCAGCCAAATGATCCGAGATTGTGGATTGCAATGGCTCATTGCTATGAGAGTGACCATTTACGTATGTTTGAGGAGGCAATCAAATGTTATAAACGAGCTGCAAATCGCCAAGATACTGAGGCGATTGCTATTAACAGATTGGCAAAACTATATGATCAGCAAGGGCAGCATGCAGAGGCTGCATTTTACTACAAGAAAGATTTAGACAGAATGGAGGCAGATGAAAGGGAAGGACCAAACTTAGTTGATGCTTTGATGTTCCTTGCTAAATATTATAGAGCCCAGAAAAGATTTGAAGAGGCAGAGATTTATTGTACCCGATTGTTGGATTACACAGGACCTGTGAGTTATCCTAACCCAAGTCCTTGTGTACTTTAAAATGATTTTGGTTGATTATTTTGCTAATATCTCAGCTCAAATCAGCTTTATATATCTGACCATGTGTTTCTTTCCCTCCCTTTCTAATATTGCAGGAAAAGGAAACAGCAAAGAGTTTACTTAGATCTATGAAAATGGCGCAATCTGGTTTCCCGTCCATGGATGTTGAGCATTTTCCACCACACGGCTCTCATTCCTGAATGCAGACTGCGTATGTATGTTAGCAAAGCTTCTTTTGCTGTACACAATCATTCTGTATATGCATGGAGTAATTTAATTCATGGTAGATGGAATCTTACAATTGAATTTTGTAATTTGTAGTCTATAGAAGTAGCTTTATTAGGACCTTAACACTATTTGGACAGTTTAATTATGATATTTTCTTCTTCCTCCTCCCTAAGGCTGGGAGTCAAAGTTCGGATCTACCTCTTTGACTTCAAAAGTCAGAGGATCTCAAGTGTCTGAAAAGTAAAAAAAAATGGAGGGAATAACAGCTTTTGTGAATTTGTGTGGCTTCTAAAGTCTACTAAATTTGTAAAAAAAAAAATAGTTTGAGAAGATTAAGTTTATTGATTATTCTTATAGAAGAAGGTTTGGCAAATTATTATATGTTAATTCAGCAAAGAGTGTATTTGGTGAAGGTAAAAGGTAACTGTTGTTTTTGGTCAAATCGTCTTTGTGTATGTTATTCCCCCTCCCCAGTCCCCTCTCAAACACATACACACACACACAAAAAAAAAAAAAAAAAGAAAGAAAATACTACTCAAGTCTATAACCTCTCTTATATATATATATATATATTTATATATAAGAGGTCTATAACATTATTGGCCACTAAATGATAATATAATTAATTTAAAGGAAAAAAAAAACTTTCACAATCTTGGTGCTTCTGTATCTAAATACTGTATTAGTAATTTTTGTAAAAATATAATATACTTGTATATATATATGGTAGGGTTTGAACTTTGAAGTTTGAACTCAAAGGGAATTCTAGATTTCTAGTAGCCCTTCCATATCACCGAGTGGTCATACCTCATACGTTTTCGTTTTAAGGTCAGTGACTACTGAAAATCATAGCATTGTAGCACTTTTAGTAATCATGACTCGTAGATCAAGAAACGGTTTAGGCATTAGTGCCTTACAAGTAGACAATCTAAACATAGGTCTAGTATACAACTAGTGTATTGCATATATCATTCTTAAACCCTTATCAAATATCAGAACCTAGATTTGACGCGCAATTTATTGCTCATAAAACCAACGCTCAGTTGTCCAAGAACATCAAAAGCCAAAGGGAATTAGATGGGGAAGAAAAAGATGATCCTGGAGTGATATATATGAAATCAAACAATCATAAATCCGTAATTTATCCCAACAATCCGCCTTTTACATCTCCTGGCAGACTTGACTATTGGCTCGATTTTCTTCCATGTTATAGAAAAAAAGGACATTACTCTATCATTGTGGAAGCAAGGTGAAGGATATGCTTTTATACAGAAGCTCAGCTCAGTTCAGTAAATCAGAACAGACCCTTAATTCGAATACCTCCATATGCTTCCGGTACTGATTATAGGCAGATCAATGAGTGTATAGAGTTTTTGGAGGACAAATACTTGTTGCCAAGTGCCATATAGCTGATCCTTATATCGAACCACAGGCCACTGGTATATATGGTATTAAGGTTTGGGAGCTTAAGAATTACAATAGTGGTGAATGGTCTTTGAAGCATACCATCTACACAATTTGGTTTCTGAAGACTGTCTTAACAGGACATATCAATCGAGGATGTCCGGACACAAGGGCTGTATGTTTCCACCCAAACGATGCCAATATCGTGTTGTTATGGCTAGCTAAACAAGTTGTTGTCGAATGTAACTTGCTACCGAGAACACTAGAACCAATTTGTAACGTTGAAAGCAATCGGAAAGATTATGGTCTTGATTTCCCGGAGTGGCCATCACCACTTCCTAGAGGTGAAAAAAATATATATATATCGGGCCAGGCCTTAACATAAATCCTCATGCCGGAACCCGCAACAAAGTAAGGGCTTGTCGGGCTAAAGCAGGCTTTTTTCTAGCCGGGTTCAGATTTTTAATTAATGCATTTTCAGGCTTGCCCAAACCGCTCTATTTTTGGGCCGGGCTAACAGGTCAAACCAATATTGATCACCTCTACCACTTTCAAAACTTTCTTAATATTGATAACTATTGTCGTTTTCCTCGTTAGGAGTTGTATAACAACTATTCTGGCATTCATATTGTTTCCATCAATTTACTTACATTAATTTTATCTTTGATTTCTAAATACTACGTATATAACATGTTGAAGGAAATAAAGAGAACTATCTATAAAACAACCAGCAAGCGAGTTTGAATTCCAACTTAATTCATACAACGGAGAAAACTCGAACGCAATGTGTTTATCAAATCATGGTGAAATCAATATAATGAAATTGAAAGCAGTCATTCTAGAAACAGAATTATTTAGAAGTTTTAGCTACGATCTGGATCTGCGAAAAAGCTGTTGATCGAAGGCATGATCTCTGAAGACTTGTTACGAATGTATTTCCTCAGTAAATGCTCAGCATATTTCTCACCCTCTGAGAAATTCTCTAGCACTCCTGCTGTTCTGTTCTCCTTGGTAACCCTGTTTTAACCAAAGCGATATCAGTAATCATACAGATACACATGCGTACGCGTACACACATACAAACACACAAACATTGTGTAGTGTGTGCTCTTCTAATCTTAAATATAATTGTCACATCGTCTTAATAGATTTCCGAAATGTCCTTGTACACTACGTATTATTTTGAGCCAAAAGAAGTACGTTAATAACAAAGGTATACAACAAATCAACAAGACATTAAGTGATGTGTCACGTAACATGAAAAAATTATGTAGGAATAACAATACCTGACTTCAGGGTTGATGCAGATGTTACGAACGAGCTGCAAGCCACAGATACCAACAGCAACTCCAACCGCGGCAAACAAAGGATAAACCTCAGGTCTCAACCAACGATTGACAGAGGCCATTCTTGGGCAATGACTTCCGATTAGATCGTCGGAGAGAGAAAGTTAAATGCGGGTGCAATGTGAGAGAAGAGAATGGAAATGGAGCAAATTGAGCTGAAGGAAGGATGAATATGTAGGAAAGGAATGCAGTTGCTAGTTGGTACAATTGTTGGTCAGACTTTACGATTCCCAAGGAGGTAATGATTCTGCCAATCACAGGATTTAGCAAGAAAGATACGCAGCTGGAATTTGCTATGCTATGGGCGCTCATTGGTAAAATATGGGGCGGTCCATGTTGCTACTTGCTTTGAGTCCACACGCAAAGCAAATCACCGCCCATTTTGAATTTCTATATTAAAATACATCACGCCAGTCTGGACTAGTAGTAAATATACTCGTTAAAATATAATAGTATTCTCGGGTGCATCAAATAATTTCTATATTAAGGCCCTGTTTGATTCACCTTAATTTTGCTGAACTGAAATTATTTTTACTGAACTGAACTTATTTTTACTGAACTGCACTTAATTTTACTGAACTGAAATTATTTTTACTGAACTTAAATTATTTTTACTGAACTGAAATTATTTTTACTGATTTTCTATTATAATTCTTCTTTAAGAAAACTGAATTTTACTGAATTGAAATTAATTTTACTGAACTGAAATTATTTTTACTTAATATTTTTTTTTTAAGGTGAATCAAACAGGGCCTAAGTACAAAAAGACCAAACTATACTTTATGTGAGTCAACAACTCTTCCAAATTGTCTAACCCATTAACCAGGGTCGAGTTAACCCGTGAGAAATTCTGGCACAATAAGATCCTTCATCTTTACTTCAAACCCAAACAAATTGTAAGGATAAAAGGGGTAAATCATGATCTGTACTTGTTACTTGTTAGGTACAAAAATCAACTGCAAATATATGTTCCCAAGTCCCAACCTCAAGTGCCCCTATTTTAATCCAAATACAAAAAAAGCAACACCGTTGCATTCATATTGTACATCACATGGCTAAATCATTTAAACAGAAAAGTGAATGTAAAAACATACTAGAGGTTGCTTCATTAATTGGTATTTCGAAACTAGTTCTGCAGTTCTGCTGCTCGATGAGTAAGAATTCAGCACTAACCAGCTCCTTGCAAGATCAAATGGTAGTTACATATAATCATAATGTGATTAATGTCCAAAACCATAACCCAATAAATGTACGACTTTACAAAGAACGAATGACATATTGAACTCTAGCCATTCTAATTGCATAAATTTTCATTGCAGCTGCAACAAATTATACAGAATCAACATTTATAGGGATATGACAAAAAGTTTCTCAGAGGCACTTTAACAAAAGGTTTGTGTGGTAAATGTCTTCCACCTTGTTTACCAGTAATCATCCAGCAGTTCGGCGAGCCCTATCCCGCCAAGAACCTTGTGGCTTTGAAAGCACCTATACATAATTACAACTCATGATTTCCAATAATATTTTTTATATTGAACAATACTACAAGTGTTCAGTTTAGAAACTTACCTTCTCATTGATGAGACTACTAGCTGGTTCATCACCTTTAGTCTCTTCGTTTCCATTCTCATTCTCACTCTCTCTCCCTTCTCCATTATCTGATGCATATGATGGACCAGATTCTGGGACTCCAAACATGGCTTCATCATGAGCATTCTGGATTTTATCCTCGCTCTTTGCCTTCAATATGACAAGAAAACCCCCATTAGGTAAGCAACCATACGTCAAAAGTTTTGGGTTCTGCTTTCAGATGCAAGATCTGCCCGCCCCAAAACAGCAACAGAATTATGATTACGATTACAAAGTACCTCTAAAGATTTGAACCGAAAGCTTTTCCCAATATGCTTGACCAGTGCCGCATCATCGTCAGCAGCTACAGGCAGGAAGGATTAAAATCTTAGTTTAACATAACTTCACATCAAATGCATGCAAGCACACAGTAGTACAAAGTAGAAGGCAAATGAGGATAACCCATTTAAAAGTTAAAAATGAACTAGAGAGAACTGTTATTATCAATTCTAATCCCTGGTGTCTGCCCCCAAATGCAGAACCAACATCTTTCATGTACTACACTGTGTCCCTGAAGTCTACCAGACCAACGAGTATCCATTTACCTTCAATTTCCTCATCATCTACAGGAGCATCTTTGTTGAACTCAAACCGCTCCCATTGTGAGCTAGTCCCCATCTTAGTATCCTTCTCAGCTGCAGGAAAGAATTGAAACCAAAATCAATTTCTTATGGTTAAACAAATGAGGAACTGAGCAGATGATACGATATGAGCAGATAGTCAGATCCCAATAGCTTTACAAAATACATCTAAACTTTTTATAACCATAATAATTGACCTCGTTACTAGTAGTATCCCAAATCTATCTTTTTTCCTACAGTTCCAAAACTTTCCTATCCCCTTGAGCCTTCCAGGCTACACTAGAGGTAGGAATTGTAAGATGAAGATTAGTGCTCAGGACCTTAACCTTTCCAGGCTAGAGTCTAATATAAGAACAATCCAACAGTGTGGGTTCAATGGTCTCAGGGTAACATAATGCTAGGGCATCTTGGATTTTGGAGCAACAAACTTTACCTTTCGGAGATATAACACTTGGCCATGGATTCTATACAGGGATATACAAGGGCTCACCGAGTTGTGACCTATGCCATAACCTTTAATACGGTGCGGGAACCCATATATATATGACCTCAGGGTAACAAGGCTTCTAAATGATGGGAAATGCCAAGGATCAAGAACTAAGCTGGCTGGGTCTCCCAGTAAAACCTGCTAACCATGCAAGGATCGGGAAAACAAGGCCAGAATTATGGCCAATTTCAAGTATGGAAAGCTAATATATCTCTTAGTAATCAAGACTTCCTATAGCTGTAAGTGGGTGACAGAAATTTAATATTCTGTACAGCCCCATAATGCACGACCTAGTAGCTTCAGGCGAGCATCTGCAATTGCGCTTAACTATATTTTGGTAAATAATTATATAACAAGCCGGACAATTCTTCTAGATAGAATACACAGTCCAATTTTGAATGTGTCTCCTAGAAAAAATTCAAGCAAGGAGTTAAAGAATGCCCAATTCTATACAGATGTGGAAATTGATGAAATTCTACAAATAATCAATTTTGGCAAGATATTAATCCCACTGAAGTCAAAATGCTTATCAAGCTTTGCTAATAATAATATAACATGCAAGGTGTGTCACAAAGTGCACTGCAATACAAAATGAGCTTCAAGTTGTACCAAAATTGAATAGTAATCAAGGTATAACACCCCACCAGATACAACCACTTGACCATAATAGATAGAAGTGAAAAAGCTTATATTGGATGCCAAAACATTATTGATTATATGAGCATGATGTTGGTTGAATGGGGACAAGTCCATCATGCATCAATAAGAGAGATTATCCATTTTGTGTATACACATACATAAGCCAATACAGGATTTCATTACCAGAATTACTATCAGGGGTTTTAAATAAAACTACAGGAGGCAAGAATTTGATTAATGACTGTTCAGTAATAATCCCTCCTAAAATCCTACATACAACTTTGTTTGTCCCATTTTAAAATAATTAAACAACTATATACTAATCTATCACTAAATACAAGTCCCACCAATCCACCATGCTAATACACTAATGATTAAAATTCAATAAATTATTACACTTAATGATAATTGTAAAAGTTCAGACAGTGAATTCCATTACGAAGAAATATAGTTAAAATTCAGCAAGGGAATGTATAACTCGATGCTTTAAAATATGATGCTACACAGAATATGTGTCTAATAATTGAAAACTAAGAACCTTCATCATTAGCTTAGCGAGCATGTATCAAGTAAAAAATAAAAAATTCTAACCTAGATGTCAACTGAAATTGGTCTGGATCAGATGCAGAGGGTTTCACCGACAAATTATAATGTCAAAAAAGAACATGTAGAATGAAAGAAGAGGGATGCAAATAATTTATTTATTTATTCAGATGAAGCAAAAATGTTTCCTACTTGCAAGCCAAATAGAATTGGTAGTTAGTGGTCTGTTTATGGCCTCTATCACATTTCAAGCATTCTAATCAATTCTCCGTATACAGCAGATAGCTCATTATCTTGAAGGACACGGGGGAATGATCTATCAGGTAAAAATAAATGGACCAGATTGGAATAGGTAGATGTAACCTCATGTGTAACATTTTTTTGACATAAAACATAGACAAGTCCCTCAAAATATATAACTGAAGTGATATTTTAATAACATATGTACAGGTGTATAATAGAGACTAAAAGAAGGGAACAAAATATCAGTGAAGTGTGTATTGGCACGATATCATAATTCATATGTGACCCCATCTCATAGTCCCAGCCTCCTAGGGTAACTGACAATTTGTAATCACTTTTGAGCTACAAAGTGTAAAGTTAGACAGGCCCAACTCTCATAAATACTCCTACACTGACTGAAAAAAGAAAAAAAAAAAGAAAAAAAAAAAAAAAAAAAAAAGCAAGTAAACTAATCCAGACTATGATCAAGACAACAAACAAAAGTCAGGTAATACCTGTTTGTGTAAGCTGAACTTTCATCTTAGCTTTGACTCTTTCTGCAGGTGTCTATTACAATCAAGTAAAAATGGAGTATTATCAATCACACTTGTCAATAAAATGTTACAAAGTTCCTGAAGATGCCTGCACACAGACAGAAGAGCGGCAGATGGCAAGGAAGGCACTGTAAGACCGCTCCCTACCGCCCCCCCCCCCCCCCCCAGGCACATTCCTCGATCATGCTCATGAATAACAGAGTAGGCTTATATATCCGAGATGTGTAAGAGCTACTAGGTAATTTAACAGCCCTTTAGCAAGAAAATCACATCTCATTTACACCAAATTGATTGATCTAGTGCAACTGTGCAATAATACCGCCATACGAAACCCATTATTTGACCTCAAATCCTGGAATTTCAATTATGTTGTTTTTCATCAACCACAAACCAATATACTGAAGGTTACAGTCAAGGGAGTAAATCATGTACAAAGGCCAATAAAACCAAAAAGGTGTCAAGAGCAGATACTGATTAAGCAAGCAAGGATCAAAACTGCTGGCTGAAGAGAGTGATACAGCATGGAACACTTATAAGCAGGTAAGTGATAAATAACAGTCTCCTTCATAAAAAAGATCATGGTAACCAGGTCTCAAATCCAGATAAGTGGCACATAGATAAGGCTAATATCTAGGGCTA